CTAAAGTTAACAGAATTTACTTTTTCAAATTTGCCGCAGATTACTGAAGTGAAGTGAAAGCAGTTTCCAGAGCTCCTTTAAGCCCAGATTATTGATAAGCACTCAGATTTCCTGGGGTGGCTTATCCATTCAGGAGGTGTCCCAGTTACCATACAGTTACTAAGTAGGCAGTCGTCCCAATCGCCACCCCTCGCTCCATCACTACAACATACCCCTCTCACAAAGTCCGTAACATATATCCCTTTCGATAGCTAATCGTTGGTGGCCGAAGTAGCTCTTTTCAAGGCGAATGTTTATCCTCTTATCATATCTTACAGACCCTCTCGAATACAAGGGAGGTACCTGTACTAGTACAAGTATGTTCACACTGCTATCAGTCCATTGGAACCCCCCGCTAACCACGCTACGTTAGAAATTCCCCTCAGCTGAAATTAACCCATCAAGCTCGAGCCAGGTCACCTGGGGGGAATCGGGTGCAAGACCCACTCAGCCTTATCGCTTCAAGAGCTGATGGTTCCTTGGCCTCACAAACATGCGCAGACGCACAGGGCTGTCGGCGCTAAAGACACAGGACAGTATCAACGGCTCATGAGTCCTAGTGCTTTCGGAGCAAAAGTTTTAACCACGATATCGAATCCATTGGCTAACGTCAATTTTCTCCGGATCTTTACCTAAGCTTACTAGCCGTGCATTAATTATACTGGGTTCAGTCGAAGCAAGCCAGGCTGTGAGTGCCCAGCCCAAAATCATTTCTACGATGAACCCCCCGGCTCACGGGCACAAGACCTAAATCCAGGCCCTATGTGTCCATGCGACCAAATACAGAGGATTGGTCGCATAGGATATTGTGGTCATCCAAGGTTTGTAGTGGGTGTGAAAAGTGAAGGCGGGTAGATTATCCTGTTGGTGCTCAGACTCGCTGAGACTCGCTGAGACTCGGAACTACTAGGTAAGGGTTTGGCTGTTAGGACGGCTCAGGTACAGCACAGTAGTAGTAGCTCACGGAGACTACAAATGAGTTGGCGGAAGTGCTCAACCAGAAACATTAAGCACTTTCTCTCGGTAGCCATTTGGACGAGAGTCCTTTTCTTCATAGAGGTAAGCACCTGTCATCTGGTGAGAGGGCCGAACCAAAACCCTTTTCTGCCACCTGACACCGGGAGCGATTCGCCTGGTCCTGTAACCTGCTTGCGCGCATATTAACTTTTTAGCTGATCAACGAAAAAGTACACAAAAATCCCTAGCCCGTCGCACTGCAACTCAGTTTGCACACAGGTGTCATACCAGGGCAAATATTTCGACCGCAGTATGCGGCGAGAGTCAACCCCACCTTATATCTCTATATCGCACAATGACGGGAGAATAAATCTGGGGGGAGACATATGGCTCAATATTGTGAGTTATTCCAGTTCAGGGGATTCTTTGCGGAGGAAGAGACTCTCGTGAGCGGCTAATCTAATCGAATCGCCAACGCACTCAGGGTTTCCTTCGCCGGTCAGTGGCGACTGGGGTATTCATTTGCAACAACCTCCCTGCTTTTGTTTTGCAGATTTTTTTCCCTCAACATGGCCACCCATGCCCAACTCTAGAGCCTGCCAGGTGAGAACGAATGCCCAAAACTTCGAAATCTATGGCTGCCTTTGGCCTGTTGCTCTCATAGGTATATGGGAATTTGTATGAGATGCCGAGAGCGGGTGGAAAGACTCCAAAGAGTTCATAACGGACATCTAAAACACATCGCATATACACCACGTGCCCCTTTCTGATTCATATTTCCAATCATTGGAGTCTTGGGCATTCTGCAAGGATCCAAGCACCCTATAACTTGGCTCGAAGAAGTAATTGCGACACATCGATCCAAGGAGGGAGAGTAGTTGAGTTAAGAGAGCAGTTGGATTGACAAAGAGGCTAGTGGCAAGAGGAGATCATCTGATGACTGATTCCCAAGTGTTTCGACAGGTGCGCATTTCGAAAAGTCCCAAGAGAAAATGTAAGTTGGAGAGTGCTCTATCCCCTCACCTACGGGATACAATGGCATGCCCGAGACCTCCAGAATAGCACCCTTCAGAATACCACAAATTCTGCACGTCAATTTCAGAATGGCCCCTGTGATAGGTTTAGGCCGCGATGATAAGACATATTGCACATCACCACAAAGGAGCGCACTTAAGGCATTCCCTGCACTGGTCATATTGTTCACCCGAAAGACGGCATAATCATCACCTCGTGTGCTTCCCGGGTTGTGGCAGGTTGACGCTCAGACAAGCAAATATCTTGAACTCAGCCTAGGCCTCGAGGATGCAGAAATTTCACATTTTACTGGGCTAACATCCTGTGCAGACAGATTGACGTTTGAGTTGAGTCTGGTCATTCTGACCCTCCCTCAAGGTAGCGATCACCGAACGCTCGGGGCTGTTAAGACTCCATGAATTGAGAAGGAAACCTATGCGTAGATGAAACCAACCACTACCACCACCACCACTACTCCGGGTGCAGAACCTGGCCCACATCAGGAGCTTGCTATACCGTACATCCTCCCGGTAAGGCTCCTACTTCAGGGCAAGAATGGGGTCTCTCCCGGAAGAAGCAAGAGAGAGATATGAGATATATCCGCAAACCGGACTCAGGAAGAACACTCAATGAGGAGTTAATGGCGGATGTGGACGTGGAGGTGTAGATGTGGGGGTAAACATACCAGTGTGAAAGCACATAGTGCAGTCATTGTTGGCTGTTGTACTACACCCTTCGGGGTTCCTTAATGAAAATTTCCCTATCGATGTTCAAGGGCTCATGGGAGTGGGCAGTGGTGGTAACGTTAACATTAAGTCCTGAACCAGTCATACCATTGCCTCATGGGGTACGGTAGTTGGGGAAGTTGTGGCGGTTTATACAATACAAGACATCACACACTGGTGCTGGCCATGGTCCTAGGTTCAATGCATCGCCCAAGTTCTTAGTATCGATAGAGGTGGGGAAAAAGGAGCAGCCGCGTTTACCATACCTAGCCTTTTATTTCTGCAAGTTTTTTTGGCTTAATGGAGACACATCAACATTGCCCTACTGTTTTCACCATGCTTGACAACAGTACGATCGGCTTTACTTCTGTTTGAGAAATGCGCAAGCAAGTTGTTCGACCCCAATGCTCCAAAGGTGCGTTTAGGAATTGTCCGAATAAGGGCTCTAGTTGATTCTATACTCAATGCTTAGTTAAAGTACAGTACTCCTACAATAATTACTCCTTATATTACTGGCATGTAGTGATTGTTTTGATTGAGGCTCTGCCCTCCGGTTTTTTTGGGTTTAGCTCAATTGATTCTTGGCGTTGGTGTAACAACACCGTACACTACTCTGGACTCCGACCCAAATAATTTACACGAGTACATCAGCCTCAAAAAACTTCAACCTGTCTATCGATATGCGTAGAGATCGTAAAGACTGGAGAACGATCTGAGGCTACGAGTACAGGCACGCAAATAGTGCACCATAAGCTATCATTTATCCATTGATGCATGATACTCATGATCCTCGTCCCCCAAACCGGCCAACCCGAGGCTTCGGGTACGGCCCGTCGGGCAGTAGCGGACGAGTACCGTACTCGAACTTTTATAGGTACACCGCTCTAGCAGTAATCCTAAGGTCCCCCCCAAAGTAGGGCGTTTTGCTAACTTATTTGGAGCGTTAGAGTGCACTCGAGTAATCGGTCAAGTCCCACACTTAAGGCGTCCAGGCCAAGCGGTGGTAAAGCGTGCGCCATAGCTCCAGAGATTTGGGGCGGGGTCTCTGCAAGATGCGTTGTCAAAAATCCACCTCTCCGGACGAACTATTCTGCCACATAACTCGCGGATCCAGTGGCAAATCAAAGCTTTCCGATATGTGAGGGGAATTCCAGGTTCTTTGAAGGATAACCGCGCCTTTGGGGCTTAAGCTAGACCATAATGCAGAGGACTAACATCCCCTACCCCAGTGCTGGGGTGTCCACTGGCATGACGTTGGTTAACTTATTAGGACGGGCCGGAAGGATACAAGTGAATCATACCGTTTTGCCGCAAGAATCCCACTGAGTCGACAGCACTTAATCCCCCCTTAAGAGCCACTACAAATGGAGAGGGAGAAGGATAAGGCTTCCTCAGTTGATCATTCAGCACACCTGCTATATTTTTTCCCAGAAATCTCTCAAATTGGACTCTATCACTGGATACCGACAAAAGAGCGTTCGAATGAGAAAAGGACCAGCAATAAGCGAGTGCAGCGAGTCAGCTCCGAGTGTGCACATCAATCATTGCCCAGAATTTCTCTACCCCCCAATGCGTTGGCGTTGTTACTGACCCACAGCGTCCCGGTCCAGTGTCCTTCTCCCCCGCAAATGTTTACTGGATTCTGAGCTTTGGAGAAACCTATATATGCCCTGGCAACGGCAACGGCACGAAATTCTTCAAAAAAAAAATAAGATCAGACTATTAAAACGCACACACATTGCCTGCGGAACTAAATTCATTCACTCACTCCCCCATCGTGCCAGTTTCAAAAACAGAGAACGATAAGATATACCATACAACACGATACGCCCCATGGCTGCAATCACCGCCAACAGACCCTCCGGGGGGTACACGGTGTCAGAGAATGTTGACAATCCCGCAGTCAGAAATTGGGTTGAGCAGAAGTACTATGAGATCGGATTTAACGGGGATGGAAGTTTTATCGGGAAAAAGGCCTTCAAGAAGAAGCTGCTCCAGGATGCACCGAAAGCTTTTGCAAACACTAACGACTCTTGGTGTATTGGGCTCTATGCCAATCAGATCATCAGGTAAAACTCGATAAGCTCAACCAATGGAGTATAGGATATATCGAGGTATTGGACACTGACTCCGCGATCTTGTAATTTCCAGGAATATGCGTCTTAGCGGAGGAAGTGGTCGTGCGGATATTGACGGTGTGCCAATGGAGTGCTCTGTATGTCTCAGCTTGATATTCTTATTTGCACTCCCCTTCCATCTCGTCCCATGTCTGACCATCCATGTGCGCAGAGATATGATGTGCAGACACATCATCCGTCATACGAACCAAGATCTGAATGCTTTTCAGCTGCGTCTAAGTGCCTTGAGAAACAAGCCCCGCTACCCACATTCCACCCCCACCACAAGGTGGTAGATGTCTTCAATTACCAAACACTGCACGAGGCTCTCCAAACATTGGACGAACCACCCTCAGGCGAATACGAATCGGAGAAAGGTACTCCGCTACCAGCGTACGGGTCTATTGCTCATCACTACCAGCAGCAGGAGTTTACACCCCCCCCTTGCCAATATCAATATGGAATGCCCATCACCCCACAACCGCTCCCGCCACCGCCGCCCTTCTCGCATGACCCCTCCGCATATAATTTCATACAGCCGGCGTACCCCCCTGCCCCAGCATATGGGAGCTTAAGTCCGAACTACGGATCCATGTATACAGCCTATGGTTTGTCGCTAGCGTATACCCAACAACAACAAAACCAGCAGCACCAGTACCAACACCAGCAGCCCCCCGTATACGGGTCAAACGGGGTATGCGCGGCAGCAGCATACGGGTACAATCCTCTTTACGCTCAACCCCTGTATTCCCAGCTCCAGCTTCAGCTCCAGCACTACCAACAGCAGCATTCACCAACCTTCATCCCAGCACCATACGGCTCTCCCCCATCCTACGGCTTCACAAACTACATCCTACAAACCACACCCCCTTGTTCCTCTTCCCCCACCTCTTCTTCCCCGGGCAGTGCACCGGCAGCAAAGCCCTACCACGAATACGGCGACTGCGGAGAAACCCTCCCACTGCCAGCAATGGTGAGCGCAACCAAACTCCTGGGAGGCGGGGAGATCCGCTCTCTAGCTGTATTCACATCCGTATTCCGGAACATGCCATACATAACCAAAGACGGGCCCATCGCTGGCATGAAGCTCAAGGACCCATGCTTGAATTGCAAAGCTCTCATGCAGACCATCCCATCTGAGATATCAATCCTCGCAGGAACAGGGTCGGGCTGTGCGCTCGATTGGATTGTAGAAAAGGCTGCTTCCGCATCCACTACTTGCACTACTGCCACCACTACTACAGCTCCATCGACATCCGTACCTCCAATGGTCGGGAGCGCACCAACGCCCCAAGGCTACAACCTGATCCTGTCAACGGCCTACTCCGCGACAAAGCCAGACATTTACCACCTGCTGGAAACCTGGACACTGAACAACACGACCCCAACCCTTCCCGAGCACCAAAAGGCCTCGCTGAGGACGCTCTGGAGAGAATTCATCCTCCCCTTCCGCGATAGGAATCAGATCTTTAGACTCGATAACGGGGACAACGTAGACCCGAGCATGCACACCCTAAACTCTGTGGCACTGCCCATATGCACCGTGTTCTGCGCCATCGCGTACGTCTTCTCCGTCGTTCTGCGGCCCGAGGCTTCCCAGCTCACCTGCCCCCCCAGCGCTTCCGGAGCAGGAGGGGAAGAGGAAGACGGCAGAGACGGGTTCTACTTACCGCTCCTGGCGGTACTGGGGAAATGGTGTAGCACCATATGTCCATGGGCGCACCCGAATGTGGTCAACGTTGCCTACTCCTCCCCCCCTCCCACTTCCCCGACAACGGACGGGATGGACACCCACTTTGTCATCGGAACCTCAAAACCGAGTGTGCAAGCAGGCTTCCCCAGTGAAGCTGTCAAGAGCAAGCATCAGGGGCAAATGCGTACCTGGAGGAGGATATTCCTGGAGGGGAGATTCGGCGCACTGAAGAATCCCTGTCCGGTTAAAATCGCTGGCATGGCCGCCGGCGTCAGCGGCGGTGGTGTAGGTACTGGCGTGGTGGGGAAGAAGGGATTCATTTGATTTTTAAATATATTTTTTTTCTTTCTTCCTCTTCTCTCTTCCATTTGTACGAAATGTTATTTTTGGCGCGTTTCGGATATACTACTTTTTTACTTGACCTGGTCGGGAATTATGATATCATACAAGAATGGGAATTTGTACCTCCAGTCTTCTTTTTAACTTTTTTTTTTTTCTTCTACCCCCCTCATTACCCCATTTACAGAGACAATCATTTCCAATCCACCACTCGTAAAAATATATATATATGTACTCACTTAATATCACTCGTAGCCCACCCCCTCTGAAATCTCGAACAATGAAACCGGGCTGAGAAAAAAAAAACTATATAAAAAAAAAAAAAAAAAAAAGTGAGCAGCCTCACCAGTTCATCACCAGGATATAAAAAAAAAAGGAAGAAGAAAGGAACACAAAACCTCACGGTCATAGTACGGTAGGCGGGACATTTTTCCCAAGCAACGATAAATCATAATACCAGAAAGGTCCACTAGCAAGCCCCACAGGCGTCCATAACGCGTACGCATAATATCGCACTTGGTAAAGGTATACAAGTACTAGTACTGTACACACAAACCTCCGCCTTCCAAGTGCGAATTTCCCCGTTTTCGCCTGGTCACCGTGAGGGAGGAGGGGAAGGAAGGCTGGGAGATGGGCAAATTTAAATTTACAGATATATATAATTGTAACTGCACGTATAGTACAGTAAAGTTCGGTACGGTACGTGGTTACCCACTATCTACAAGTACAGTACTCATCGGGCGTGGTACTGTACAATACCGGTAGTGACTAGTATCATACTGTATAATTCAACAAGCCCCCCACATACATACCCCCACGGGCGTGCCTGTGGGAATTTCTCTGAATCATTGTCTTCGGGAAATTCGTTCGCCTTGGTTGGTACATGTGTGTGTATGTGTGTGGTGTGGTTTTTTTTTTTTTATCTATCGTATGTATATCTTATGTAGTGCGGTGTGGTGTGGTACTTCGTATATACAAGGTATTATAGTAGGAAGTGTGTAGCTGACTAACTATAGTTCTGTGCGGTTATGATGGGTTTGGGGGATTTTTGCCTGGTTGCCTGGTGCTTTCGTGGGGGGGGGAGTGCTGTTTGAGGGGCACGAGGCGTGAGGTATGAGTATGATACAGTACGGTACTGTACTCGTATCATAAGTGCGATGTTTCCCGAGTAGTCCCGTGCAGTGATTAAGTGCATTGTGGGCAAAGTTTATTCTAGTGATGCGCTCCTAGCATCTGGGTAGGCGGGAGGGTTGGTTGGCTGGTTGGCTAGCTGGCTGACTACATTGGTACCGGTACCGGTAGTGGTGGGGGATAGGGATGCTGGGCGGCGTATGGCATGGTGCAGTCAGTAGGAGATTCAAGAATACTTCGAGGGAACCGAAGGTCAAGTATATCGTACTTGTATAATTCCGGGAATACAGGTGAGAAAGCCTATCCCATCTTCCCACGACCATAAGGATCATACATGTAGGAATATTACGAGTATGAACCGGTAAGACCTTGACAGGCAGAGAGCCTCATAGTGTAACACACCCATCCATCCCTCATCACCACCAACCACCACCTGCCCGAGTAGAAGATACCAGCAACAAAGCAATCTGTGAGATTCGGCCCGGCCCGAAACTCGGATGGTAAGCACTCCATTCCATGCTCCCCCTCCCCTTCTCACTCTAGTTCTCACTCAGCAGCATGCATGCTTCCCATCTCCGATTATTCCCGCAACACACGATGGACTATGATAGCAGGTAACGGCAAGCGATAACAAAGACTGTCCTATCCCTCAACACAACGGCACAAAGACTCCATAACCAATTCCTTTTGTAAATTCTGCAATGCCCCAATGACACGAAATGAATATAAATATAAACCGTAAACAAAACCCCGAATTAATCAGTTGTTTTTTGTTTTTTATCCTGTTTTCATTCCTCCCTCGAGGGAGAACGGAAGAAAACTTGGGGAAAAAAATGGTGCATAGGAAAGACATGAAATAAAAAAATAAAAAAACTCCAAAGTAACACCTAAACAATAATATAAACACTACAAACACCACCACCACCCATCAGCACCCTTTCCGATCCCCCTTTTTCTCTTCTTTCCGTATGCAGATGACCGTTAGGGATGTGGTTATTTCGTCGCCGTCCTCGACCGCGTATTAATCCTCTCAAGCATCTCCTTCGCACGAGCCCTACTCCTGGTAACCGGTCCTCCGCCTTCGCCTCGTCTCTTCATCCGCCTTCGCCTCCGTCGATCGAGCACTATCTCTCCAGCCCTCGCACACTCATCTCCCGCCGTTTCACACCGCTTCAGACGTCTGAATTCATGTTCGTCAGCACCTTCGCGACTACTCGGGATACTCGGTAAGTACTTTGCACTGTCACACTTCGGCCGCTTGGACGGTACAACGTGCGTGTATGGCTGGGCGTAGAAGAATTTGATGGTGGAGGGTGATAGCGAGTTGAGATTCGCGACGAGTTTTCGGCGGAGTAGGAGGGTCTTCGTTTTTGTTTCTGTTGTTGTTGCTTTCGTTGCTGTGGTGGTAGTGCGGGGGGGCAACGAGGTTTTCGACCCGCGTCTTAAGCAGTGGGTGTTTGCTTGGGATTTGGGTTTTAACGCCGATGTTGATCTGATGATCGGCTGGGCAGGTGATGATGGTGGAGGCTTTGGAGGATAATGATTGTAGTGTTGATGATGGGGATGGTGGTGGTGATAATGTTTTGGCAGAGGTGCGTGAATCATTGTTGGTGGGTTGAGAGGGTTGTACGTTAATCCGCACATCTTGAAAGGAAAGGAGCAAGTAAGTTTGGTTTGTGGAATGGATTACGAAGGGAAAATGGGGGGGTTGGGTACTTATTGTGGCCCACAAGCCGCGTTTTACTTTATTTGGAGTGCCACAATTGCATTGATATGCGCCCCCATCTCAATTCTACACATTTTGGCCCTGCCCCCCTAAGCCGGCAGGGGGGGCTTCAATGCCAGGAAGCAAAGGAAAAAAATAGAAAGCCCGCCTCCCGTTTCATGGAAGCGAGCCGAGAGGTCAGGTTTTAAGACTGTTTCGGACGCAACACGTGATCACAGAATGCGGACCAGCCTCTCTCACCCGCATCAACTTGACGATGCTACTCTCGTCGTGCTCCCCTAGCCAGAGAACAATTATTATCTCTGATCAGGGGCTTTTTTGCGGGGTCCCAGACGTGGAGAACAGGTGAAATCAATCCTCATGGATAGCCCATTTTGCTTACATAATACACAAAAGAAAGGAGACTTGGCAAACCTAACTTGTAAAACGACCATATCATACATGGGTAATTCGCTCCAGTTGAGAGTCAGAGAAAGGTAGCCTTAGAGAGGAGTGTCCTCTGGGCACTTCTGTAACGTCATATCCTCCAAGAGATGAGGCTGAGGTTGAAAATTTTCCTTTCAAGTGCCCGGCAGCACACTGTATCGTACCGCACACTTTTCCCCCCGAAAGCTCCCGACACACCCAATGTCGGAACTCCAGGGCAACTGGTTCGGAGCCGTCTTCAGCCCCGCCATGATGACCGACCGCATACCCCCATGTCAGCTGTAGAAACCTGATACGATACTAAACTGTAAAGTAGACTGCCGGTACGGCACTTGATAGGGTGCCGAGAATGATAGGGTAGCGAGAATCACCTCCTCTCCCGGATGAGTCAGCCTTTCTCATGTCGAGTTGGGTGCCGGTACCGGTATCGTACCATATCTCCTCCGAGGAGAGGTGTTGGTTGGTCCTCGCTGCCCTACCGGTACAAGTACCGGTATCCATTCTCGACACCCTATGATATTACCAAGTATAGTATCATACAAGCAGCCTATCAAATCCTCAAATACGTAGAGAGGAATGCTATTGGAAACCCTTTGTTATCCCCCTCCAACCCATTGCGAGCGCTGCCGTACATCCGGGGCCTATCGACACCGGAGCAGCCGAAAAGCCGAAACCGGCTTGAACAGTCCAAAAAAAAAAAAAAAAAAGATCCCCGAAAACCGCCATGTACGGTACTATACCGTACCGTACATAAAACTAAGCCTGAGTCGCTAGTTATCATGCCTCGTTTCCTCGAGAGTGATTTGATGAGTTGTTCGTTTGAGGCAGAACGAGGCTGAGCAACTATCATATTTCCACCGACTTCCTTTGTTTTTATTGGGGGTATTAACGCAGCAATGTTAGTCCTAGTCTACTTGTGAACTAACGCTGTTGCCTGAATATGTACAGTACTGTACTGTACCGGTAGCATTGCCGGATAGATTCAAAGTTTTCAAAACATCAAACCAATCCTAGAATCATAAATAATAAACGGTAATGATCCTCAAAGCTGCGGTGCAAATGCACAATCCTTTTCCCGAGGAAGGAAGGCCTGACGATCCCTGCACTTGGAACGGCGTTTTAGTGGACCCATATAAGTATGTTACAGTGGACAAGCCGAAAGGGTAGAAAACATTGTGTCCTTCGCATTCTGTAGCCTTGAAGCCTCCATGTTTGAGCATCGTATTTAACCCCACTCATCCGCTTTCTGACAACTCTGAACCTGCTGGTGAAGCATATTCCGGTTCCCCGCCGGTGGTTACCGTTCCCGATTTCTCGGGTACTGGCCATGTTACCAGTCATTATGCTGCGCGTGGTACATTACGGTAGTGGAGGGGGCCCATCCTTGAGACCTCATACTACTCAGGAGCTGCGCACATTTGACGACAGCGACATCTCCGTTCCTGGGCAAAAAAAAAGGGTATGTAAGGGCACTATGAAATGAAGCGGGGAGGGTCTCCAAGTCGTTATCTAACAAATGACTATAAAAGCGAACACAACAGTAAAACGATAGCCAGTGGAATCCCCGATCACCTCGCCCTCTTCTCCAAGTACCGAATGTCATTTTCGAAGCTTTTTTCCCCCAGCAACCTCATTTTTATATTCACATCCATCCGTGAGATAAACCCCCCCCCAGTCCAGCCTCGCGCTCTCTCCTAGGCTCCAGCTCCCCTTAGGCTCACGGTGAACGTTCAAAAAAAAAAAAAAACCGAAACATGAGCACGATGCAAACACCATAGAAGGCTCCTTCCAATGCTGCCCGGGAACCTTTGGGGCTCGGTGCACAGTTGGGGTATCCACCTAATGTCCCTCTGTCGCTCTAGACCTGTCCATGACCGCACGTCTTTTTTCAGGTTGTGGAGAAAAAGGGAAAAATTTTCTAGATATCAATGCTGTTCAGCGGGCTCGCTGCGAAAGCATTGGTGATGCCAGGAGGCTGATAAAATATGATAAGTTATTGTTTATTTGCACCGGGCAGCTGTTCATGTTTGAACCCTGCTAGTGCCTGGAGGCTTGCAAGATATCTGAGGTGATTGGAACTTCTAATGTTATCGTAGCATGATGGCCAGCGGGGACCCCGCCATACCAGAGAAGGCCAATCTTCTGCCCAACCTACCAAAGTAGCCCTGGTTCGTGAAGTAACCTGGTGGCTATAGTTCCCTAAACTCATTTCCTTAGGTAAGATGGTAAGATATTGGATGCTGAGGGGTTTCTCGGAAGGCTCGCCCCGAATGACGATTCAGAGACTCAGCAATTCAGCTCAGGAGCGAAGCTTTTCCCTAGGCCTATCCAGCCAAGTATATCTCTTCAAAGACTTTCTGGAGTCGTAGCATTATCGGGAACACCTAGTAAATTGTCGCCAAGGGATAGCCGAAGCAACCCTTAAGCTTATAGCGGGGTAGTAGCTTCAACATTCCGGGTACCACAGATATCACTGAGCTCCAGAAGCCCTGGTCATTTCCACCTGGAAAAGCTAACAGCGCATTCTCAACACCCCCGACCGGGGCGAATACCGATTCAGGCGATATAATGTAGTACGGTAGACTCTAATTGAGGTTTATAATATCTCTAGGCAAGTCGAGGGGTGTATTTGCTTCAGAAGGTGAAGTAGGACCCCTCCTTCTGCCCCAGCAGCATATTTCTCTTCGAATCTCAAGCCACTAGAGATGTCAGGGGCCCCTAGATTATGTCAAGCCAGTTCCAGATAATGCTAGAGGCACCACCCACTTTCAAGAATCCAGCCTCTTCTACAGTTTCGAAGGGCAACTCGGTTTTCGGAGATTCTAAACTATGGGCTCACGGCACCATACGAAAACCGATGCCCTCGCGAAGTGTCACTCGACATTGGCGCAGTCGACAGGCACACCCCGACCACCCCCAACCGCACCCGCCAGCCACCAGATAGGCCATTATGATAAAAGCTTCTCAGGGGCGCAGTTATAGCGGATACCCACATCATGGTCTGCCTGGTTGACGTCTCAGAGCCTGCAATACTGGAAAAGCGATGGCGTTGGGATTTGACGACGCCTGTTGATGCCTGTAGGCACTATCTAAGTGCCTAGAATTCCGGAAAAGGCACCAGAGGTTATAACCCCCTCACTTGTTCGAGCCAGAGTTATTCCTTGATAACAAGGGTATACAGTACTGTAAAAACTCGCTTTTAACGAACTGGCCTGGGCCGGGACATTTTGCAATCCCCGGTACTAAGAAGGCTAAGTTTCCAGGAGTTTTCGAAGAAGAAAAAAAGGAAGAGATACCCGGCCTATCATCTATTTTGGCAACTTTGTCGATTTCGAACCGTCCTAGTCCAGGCCAGTTAATGAAAAGCGAGTTTTTACGGTATGTTGAACTACCGGTATTAGTTTCGTGCATTTGACAATGCCCGGCAGACGTAGTATTAATAGGCCGTCAACGACCCGCGGCTTGACCTCGAGTGCATGCTGGGCTCTTGAGGCAATTGATTCTTGCGCTGCACTTTCGGTACGGCCTAGGTTAAGATTTAATGCCGCTCGGTTTCTTACGGTTCGATATTCCATGGCCTTGAGGGGCCAGCCTACCAAGAGCTGGTGAAATCCATACTCCCCATGATAGTCCTCGCCCCGAAGTCCACAGAGAATTACTTGGAGCTTATCTCCTAAAATCTAGGGATAAGATCGACAACTTAGATTATGTATGGGGGGGGTCTTGGACAGATACCGGGATATATGACTCGTGGGGTTCGATCAAAAAATAACGTCTTATCATACCTTAGAAGATGAGCGTTAGGAGCGGGTTTGAAGGAGCCCTAGGAGTTCCCTAGTCGTTATACCATTAACTCTACATGGCCAACTAGGTTCTCGGGACCAGATTTTGTCATCCTCAGACGACCCTGTAAGACTACAAGTCTTCCCGAACAACGATCGGTAGTTCTCTTTGGCACAAGGAGATCGAGACAGTGGGTTTATGCTTGAAGGGAGAAATGAGGGCTTGTTGTAGCCCATCTCCACATTTCCGCTTCCCCCTTTCCTCTCCCACACACCTGCTCCTGCGAGCGAGCAAGGGTCTCTGCGGTGACAACCGTTCGCCGAAAGTGGGGCAGGAAAAGTGCCCAAATATGAGTGGGTATTATAGTTATCAAAGAATGGGGAGACATCCGCGGAAGTTCCCCAACGCCGGAGGAAGACCACGAAGGTGATAGGGGAGGCTGTCAGGAGAAAACGAACGCTGCTCCTGCGATGCCATTACGCCCATCAAGCTTACAAAGGGAGAGAAGAAGGGTGAGGCTAAAGCCTGAGCATAGAACCTCACAATCTCTTGCGGGGGAGCGAACAGTGGTGGCGGCGGTGGTTACGGTGATGAATACACACACCCTACATTGCGTATATACGCAGCAACATTGCGCGTCCCCATCAAACCTATCCATTACTACAGGTACGCGACGCCCCTAGCAGTGGAAATGCCTCCTATGCTCCCCCCACCAGCTCCCCACACCAGAGGCTACCCCTCCCTATGACTGCCTAATCTCCCTTGTCGGAAACCAGTCGAGCGCGGTTTCAAATCTAAAACTATGTGGGGCACAGTTTATCACTCGACTCGATAAAACTGTAAATTTTAAAATAGCGCCCCGGGAAGACCCCACCATAGACAAACACTCCATAATATTATTAACAAATATAAATCCGGTTAGTTTTCACATGTAACCTAAAATACAATTAGACTACTTTTAAATCCACCATAAGTATCTGGGGGTCTGGTAAAATGCACTAGGAGCGCTAGATCTGGCGTTTTCACTTAGAATCTATAGCGCTAGGAATAAAGTATATGATACATAAGCTACTATGCTTATGGGGCATCAAATGGAAGGTAAATTTATAACGATATATATCTTCCCTAAATAAATTAAAGACAACCAAAGCTTGGATTTGCTGCCTGCGTGTAGTCTGGAGCTTTCTACAAACCCATGATCTAACAGAAGGGTCTTAAAAAAAAAAGGAAGGTAACCAGATGCATCCTCGTAAGTAGTGGGTTGGGTACTTCTTCAAGCTTTCTATAATTCCTCTTGATGACAAAGTGCTTCTGCCCAGCTGGTAATTGAGGAACCGTATAGGCCTGGCCGGACACACGAGAGGCCTTTACATTTTGAGACTCCGGGGACCCATCAGACGTGAATAGATAGGGTACTTGCTAATGGCACAGTATTTGTCTACTATTAGATCACATCTCATCCGACATAATATCCATACATCCCTAATTCGTACCGCTGCACGTAGTTTAGGAAACACCCTTTAATTTGGTGAACTTCCTCAAAACTGGTTAAGGAGCAAATTTGTGGGGCACAGAAGTGATACAAGTTCCAATATCGAGCAACCCTACTTCTCCAGTCTCTTGTCGATGTACCAATTAATTCTTGACGTCTGTTAATTCCGAAGTATCACAATACCTCCAGTTAGGGAATTTGTATGCAGAAGTGCGGTAAGCTCGGGGCGGTTCGGGAAATCGCCGTATCAATCGTACAGGTATTGTCACCAATCAAATTATAACTAAACACTACCCAATAGTAACGCGAAAAAATGCTTCCACAGAACATTCCAACTGGCCGGGACTATAAGTGAGGATCTTCATGGTGAACAGCGCTCAGTAAATTCGGAGACTACCTCAATAAGTGCCCCAACCCGAGCTATCCCAATCCTTCCTACGGCTCCGAAAAGTAAGGGATTTCATGGAGTCGTCACAGAACTAGATTAAGCCTACTATTCAGAGAAAATTTGCCCCTACTACCTGTGGTTGCTCGGTTATCCTTGATAGGTAACAATATTGGGAGAGAAAGGAGCCGTGATACTCGCATGACTAGCAAGGCCCCGCCCCACTCGTGACCCCGAGCGGGGACGCTCGCTCCCGTAGGCTCATGGCGAAATGATCTGCGTCGGGAGGTAAAAGCACACCATGGAGGAAAAGTGAGGAATGAAAGCGTTGCGAGTGACTTGCTCAAGGTGCCGAGGTGGACCCCCAAATAGGAGGGGGTACGAGACGCACACTCTCCACCACCAACAAACGTCATGCTCCCACACAACCACGCATGTCTGCCATTGGGATCACTCTATCATAGGCCTTGGCTCACTGTAGCTCTCACTGAAGTCTTTGCTCATTCAGCTGCTCCACACATAATATTTTAATTCTTCTTGCGTGGATTTTGCCCGCCTTTCTAAGGTGCGGTGTTTTTGGCTGGCCGTTGGGGCCATCAACGAAGCGAAACTACGTTTTTTGCGCATAGGATGCCATGAATCCCCTTGGTGGTATTTCCCCCTCCCCTCCCCTTGTTTAGTGCTGGGGTGAAAGCAATGCAACCTCTACCACGATCAGATCGAATATCTTAACTTTTCTTCTATTGCACATTACTGTATTTGTGCCGCAGAGCTGAAGCCAGATACCTCCATAGAGTACTGTAAGAGCTTGAACAACAGGGCAATGTGTTAAGACGTTAGAGTTTCCTCTCCTTGTAAGGTCTGTTGTTTCGTTCTCTTTTATATGTTAGGAAAAGCTATTTTGTTATTTTGGAGTGTTTTTCGCACCTTTTCCAAATTTTAGGCCACATAGCACATACTCCGCTTATTCGAGCCCCTACTGTACAGTGGCGATCGGTGATCAGTGAGCTGATAAATGTATAATGCAAAAGATCCTGAGCAGCGTGAGGTACCGGTAAGCTGACATACAAGTACCAAAAAAATAAGCTAGCTCTGTACGGAATGTGAGGTGCTCCCAAAAGTGACCTTATCCGAGGCAGCAGGCAAAGCACCAAAACTTACCCATAAGCATAAAGGCATATTCACCAATTGAGATTCCTGTCACCCAGCTCCTTCATTCTACTTGTTTGTATAATATTTGGAATAGGTATGGGCGAGGAGGCAATCATGAGGCATCAGTCATATCATCCCTTCATCCTCACCGCCCAGTATCTTTTCCTTCCATCCCTTGCCATTGGCTACGGGCCTGATTGTCATGCTCAGATGTTGCTCCTATGAGCGGACTTCTCTCATAAGTTAGAGGCTGCCCAGCTTCCTCGGTGGTGCTTGGTACTCCAGTCCGTGGCCCCGAGACCGTGGGGGAACCCTGTTAGAAGCCCTGTTTTGCATTTTCAACCAAGTCTAAGATATCTGTCGATCTCGTTTTTCCCTTCACTCTTTTCACATTATTCCTTTAGTTCCGTCTGGCTTTCTGGGAATATTGAAATTCCGGAGTGGTTGGTAGTAGTGGGCAAGAATGATATCTGATCAGATGCTCTATCAGATGATCCAATTGGGGGCACAATTCTTTTAACCTTACAGTACTCGAGCACTAGCAAGATCCCGCTTGAGATCTTGAGCCGTATCATTCGCCCCTGCGGACGCTCGCTTATCGTAGCGCTTCGCTCACTGAAGGGTTATTGTTCATTCTGGTATTTTGCATGTAAACTTTTCATTTTTCCTCTTATATAGTATACTCTAGCCCCGTTCTAGGCCTTCCCTTTCTCTCTTTTTTTTTAGCGGGCGGTAAAGCTCCCTCTGCCAAGCAAGAAAAAGTGCGATAGAGAGTTTGTAGAGTACAGTCTGACATAAATGGGAGCCGTCTGTATTCCTGCTGGAGGTCTTTGCTTAAACCGAAGTACAAAGGACCCCGGATATATATCGCTCTTGTTAGAAATGGCCATGTAGCTATTGGACTGGACGAGATAAAGGATTGATTGTGTATTGAAATTGTTCAGAGTAAAGAATTAAGGAGAAAAGCAATCGAAGAGAAAAGAAAGCAAGAAGCACAGAAACAACGGGGAAAGAAGGCGGTTAGCCTTTCATCTTCGCATGTATGTTGGTCAGATGTTTTGGGGGTGTGTACTTAATCTACCATGTAGATACATCATTCCCATTTATGAGTAGGGCCACCTAGTCAAGAACTCCCATGTGTGTAGTAGACCTCCAATCACAGGTCCACACTTTTCTTATCCTGGTTCCGTATTTTATCTAGCACTTTTCTAACAGTTCTTGCTAAACTAGGTGTGCTCAAGACATTATATTATACATCATTATAGGTACGGTATTTTTTTTAAGCGCCCCGACACCGGGCATCTTGTCATGTTTATACTAAAGGAGTAAAGATATAAAATCACATCTCCAAGTTCCTGGACACGAAAAAGCATCACATAGTTGAAGTAGGGCTCAAATTCCCTGTACGAGTACAGTTCAGCATCATACGATGCAGTACAAGGTCATGCTTTTTACGTTTAACCATCTGGAATCAAGGAACCATGCTACCAGATCATGCCAGCCACTTACCAGGATGCTAACACCAAGTACTATACCGGTGCTAGAGTACCGGTAGCTCTCCCTATTCAAAGCTCTACGCTGGATCTTACTCGTCCAGAGAGGGCAGCCACCACACCAGCAGCGCTCGCAGCCGTCCGACGACATTAGTGCAAAGTAGTAAGATGAGAGTTTTCTGTCATCAACTACATTTATAAAATAGTGTACATAACAAAAAATAAACTCAATTGCATTCCAATTAAAATATCCAGACTTACAACATTAATTAAGAAAACAAATGCTCATACTCAAATAAGAAAAAGTTCAAAAATAACAATAAAGTAAACAGAATATATGAGAAAGAAATAATAGGATAAAAAACAACAGAGATACAAAACTAGTTTAATTAACAATCCTAGAGACAAGAGCTTCCTGCTATTAGGTGGAGATGATCTGTATAGACTCGGAATCGTCTAGGCCAATTGAGATTCATTTTCATAGAAAGAGATTTGTCTAGGAAGGCTCAAATAGGTTACTCGTTTCATTTATGACTACTATGAGTAAAGTGAAGGAGGATCGAATAAGATAGAATTGTATAAACAACATTATATTATTAAGGTCTCTTCTCCGTTGCTTGATGATGTCTAAAGGCTTGGGAGGCACTTCTATATTTATATTCCACGTCTGAGTGTTCACGGACTAGATCTATCTCTCATACAAATTATATACCTATTTAACTATAAATTGCAATGTTAGATATTCTCCTGAAGTGCGAATACTAGGAGATCCTGAAAACTATTACACCCTCTTTGATAATTACTATTTTGCTAATCAGGAACTGTATTATTCCCAATAGTAATTATCCAATCTTCAGAGTTATTAGACTAATGGCCTAGTCTTTAAGTCAAACCGAGTTGGCTCGAAT